TAAGAGGGGGGGTACTGTTACAGTATCCTCCCTAGATCCTAGACATAACTATATTAGACGTGTACTAGAGTATTATTAGTGCATGTTTAACATAAATATAACATAACATAGACATAAACTTAAGCATAAACTGCCTTAACACTAACTAAACTTAAAATAAGCTTAATTTATACCTAAAGTACTTAGACTTTTAAGCTAAGTATTTAATTACTAATTTTCTTCTAAACTTTCTTGTTCCTTACATAACATCTTGTACCTACTATAATACCTCACGTAGTAATTAAACTAGACCTCTGTGAAGCTCTATAACCTTACTTGTGCACAATTGTGACAGGCAGATTCTCCTTCTTATACTAAGTAAAGAAGTAATAGCAGCCCTTAAAGATAATAAAGAGTAGAATAGCCTACTTTACTATGTTAATACTTTAGATAACTATTATCTACTTCCTATTACTTTACTATATTGCCTTTAGCTGTCCTTATCTCTCTAAAGCTGTAATAACTGCTCTAGTTAATATCTAGCCTATTATAAAGCTTAACTTGTTAAAGTTATACATGTCTTTATTCTAGATACTATACTTAGCTTTTATGTTAGCTACTAGGCAAAACTAGCCCTAAATAACCTCTAGATCCTTATAAAGCACTCTTTTATAATTATACTTATAATTAAGCTTTATTATAAACTTAGGGTAGTGCTTAACCTACATACTAGGCTAGTTTAAGCTAACCTAGCCTAGATTGCGCTCTGCGCGCAAGAAATTAGCTATATTAGCTATAGCTGTAAGCCTAAAGGGAAATCTGTGTGTAGTAAGCTTAAGTATATACTTAATAACTACCTTTTTTTTAAGCTTAGTTAGATTCCTTAATTTAGGCTAGCATTCTGCTTCTAAAGGCTGTCTAGCGCGTTAATTGCTTAGTGTTGTATAAGAGACATTATAGATAGCTGCAGCGCGTTATAAGGAGAGTTTTAAGTCTTATTTAAGAGCCTAAAGAGCAAGCTGTATCTAACGTTCTTTAGAAGATTTAATCTAGTGTTGTTGTTAAGGCATTATGTAGATAGGTAGAGTGTGGTGGGGGCTTAGCAAAAGTGGCCGGCCAACCCGTGTGGCCGGCTAACCTGTTAGGTACGTTATATGTTTTTATCTTAAATACTATACTTAGCTTTTATGTTAGCTACTAGGTAAAACTAGCCTTAGATAACCTCTAGATTCTTATAAAGCGCTTTTTTATAATTATACTTATAATTAAACTTTATTATAAACTTAGAGTAGTGCTTAACCTACATACTAGGCTAGTTTAAGCTAACCTAGCCTAGATTACACTCTACAGGTAAGAAATTAGCTATATTAGCTATAGCTATAAGCCTAAAAAAAAATCTGCGTGTAATAAGCTTAAGTATATACTTAATAACTACTTTTTTTTTAAGCTTAGTTAGATTTCTTAATTTAGGCTAGCATTTTACTTATAAAGGCTGTCTAGCGTGTTAATTGCTTAGTATTATGTAAAAAACATTATAAATAGCTATAGTGTGTTATAAAAAGAGTTTTAAGTCTTATTTAAAAGCCTAAAAAGTAAGCTGTATTTAATGTTTTTTAGAAAATTTAATCTAGTGTTATTGTTAAAGCATTATATAGATAGGTAGAGTTTAGTAGGGGCTTAGCAAAAGTGGCCGGCTAACCTGTGTGGCTAGCTAACCTGTTAGGTACGTTATTTATATAAAATAACTATAAAAAAACTTTTAAAGCATATAGATTAATTTTTATTTATATATAAGTAATTCTTAATTTTTCTAATATATAGCTATGTACCCTGCTACTAGTCTCTTTACTAAAAACGCTATAGTACTTAAAAACCTTAAGTAATTTATATAAATTTAAATTATAGTTAAGGTTTATATAACATACTTCACAGGCAAGTTGCTTACACACCTAAGTTACTTACTTTTGCTAAGACCCTACTAAACTACTCTTTCTACACTAATGCATTCTCTATAATACTACTTAGATGTGCTAAAAGAATGTTAGATATAGCTTACACTTTAAGCTTTTAAATAAAACATAAAACTTTTAAAAAAATGTGCTATAGCTATATATAAAGTTTTATAAAAAATAATAAATAACTATAGCGCTAGATAACCTTTATAAGCTAATTCTACAGCTAAATTATAAAGGCTAGGTAATAAAAAAAAGTAGGTAATTATTAAGACTATACTTAAGCTATATACACAAAAGATTTTCTCTTAAATAGCATTTATAGCTAATATAGCTAATTCTTTATGCGCTAAGTATAATCTAGGCTATGTTTATATAAACTAGCCTAGTATGTTTATAAAGTGTTATTTAAAGCTTAAAGTAATATTTAAGTGTAAGTATAACTATAAAAAAGCTTTTATAAGAGTTCTAAAGTAATTTAAAGCAGGTTTAGCTTTATAAAGAATATTAAAGCTAAGTATAGTATTTAAAATAATAACACATATAACTTTAGTAAAATAAAGTTTATAATTAGCTAAATATCTTTTAACTATACTTATGCTTAAAACTTTACTTTAAGCTTTAAATAACACTTTATAAACATACTAGGCTAGTTTATGTAAACATAGCCTAGATTATACTTAGCGTGTAAAGAATTAGCTATATTAGCTATAAATGCTATTTAAGAGGAAATTTCTTATGTATATAGCTTAAGTATAGTCTTAATAATTACCTACTTTTTTTTATTACTTAGCTTTTATAATTTAGCTGTAAAATTAGCTTATAAAAGTTATCTAGTGCTATAGTTATTTATTATCTTTTATAAGACTTTATATATAGCTATAGTATATTTCTTTAAAAGTTTTATATTTATTTAAAAGCTTAAAGTGTAAGCTATATCTAACATTCTTTTAGCATGTCTAAGTAGTGTTATAGGGAATGCATTAGTGTAGAAAGAGTAGTTTAGTAGAGTCTTAGCAAAAGTAAGCAACTTAGGTGTGTAAGCAACTCGCCTGTGAAGTACGTTATATATTGTTTTATATAATTACTAACTTTACTTTAAGAAAGCCTTTTATATTTTATTAAAAAAGCTAAGCTAATGCTATAAAAATATACTAATAAAAACTAAGCTTAAAAAGCTTAAAAAGTAAGTAGTAAAAGTAAGTAAGTAATATACTTTACAGGCAAGTTGCTTACACACCTAAGTTACTTACTTTTACTAAGACCCTACTAAACTACTCTTTTTATACTAATGCATTTCTTATAACACTACTTAGACGTGCTAAAAGAATGTTAGATATAGCTTACACTTTAAGCTTTTAAATAAGACATAAAACTTTTAAAAAAATATACTATAGTTATATATAAAGTTTTATAAAAAAATAATAAATAACTATAGCGCTAGATAACCTTTATAAGCTAATTTTATAGCTAAATTATAAAGGCTAAGTAATATAAAAAGTAGGTAATTATTAAAACTATACTTAAGCTATATGTGTAAGAAATTTCCCTTTAGATAGCATTTATAGCTAATATAGCTAATTCTTTATATGCTAAGCATAATCTAGGCTATGTTTACATAAACTAGCTTAGTATATTTTAAAGCATTATTTAAAGCTTAAAGTAATATTTAAGTGTAAGTATAACTATAAAAAAGCTTTTTATAAAAGTTTTAGAGTAATTTAAAGCAGGTTTAGCCTTATAAAGAATATTAAAGCTAAGTATAGTATCTAGAATAATAATACATATAACTTTAGTAAAATAAAGTTTATAATTAGCTAAATATCTTTTAACTATACTTACACTTAAAACTTTACTTTAAGCTCTAAATAACACTTTATAAACATACTAGGCTAGTTTATATAAACATAGCCTAGATTATGCTTAGCGTGTAAAAAATTAGCTATATTAGCTATAAATACTATTTAAGGGGAAATTTTTTACGCATATAGCTTAAGTATAGTTTTAATAATTACCTACTTCTTTTTATTACTTAGCTTTTATAATTTAGCTATAGAATTAGCTTATAAAAGTTATTTAGCACTATAGTTATTTATTATCTTTTATAAAACTTTGCATATAGCTATAGCATATTTTTTTAAAAGTTTTATGTTTTATTTAAAAGCTTAAAGTGTAAGCTATATCTAACATTCTTTTAGCATGTCTAAGTAGTGTTATAGGGAATGCATTAGTATAAGAAGAATAGTTTAGTAGAGTCTTAGCAAAAGTAAGCAACTTAGGTGTGTAAGCAACTCGCCTGTAAAGTACGTTATAAAAAGTGTAAAAAAGAGTAAATTTAGTAAAGTAAAATAATAAAGTAAAATATAAAAGCATTATACATAGCTACTAAAATATAAGCAGCATCTAATTTTCTAAGAAGGATTATAGTAGAAATATCTAAGAAGGACTATAGTAGAAATTATGCTCAACTAGCTCTACTAAGTTCATAGCGCTATAAAAACTATAAAAAGACTTGTTGTAACACTTATATATATTAAAAAAAAGAAGTAGTAAAAGTAAATATAAGCATATTGTACATAAACGTTTTATTTATAAATAAAAAATATGTTTTTATTTATAGTATTAGTTACGCTAAGAGATTTTATCTAGCTTTGTAATAGTTTACATTATATTAAAAGTTAATTAACGTATTTTACAAGCAAGCAGCCTATATAAGCAAATGGTTTACTTTAAAAGTGTTATATTTTATTTAAAAGCCTAAAGTATAAGCTGTATTTAACATTCTTTTAGCACATCTAAGTAGTGTTGTTAGGAATGCATTAGTGTAAGAAGAGTAGTTTAGTAGAGTTTTAGTAAAAGTAAGGAACTTAGGTGTGTGAGCAACTCGCCTGTGGTGTACGTTATTAGACATTATATATTATATTAAATATGGCGGCAATGTTGTTTCCGGCAAGCCTTTAATTATGTTGCTGGGAATTAGCGCTGTATTTAGCCATACATGATTAATGTTTCGAGCTCATATAAGAAGCGGAACTAGGCAGACCAGCGTCTGCGCCAGAATGTAGACAAGTGACAACAGGATTGACTGAAGTATATATCCAACTAACAACAAGAATCCAGATTGTGGTCTAGTAGAATCGTGTGACTCTCCTTAAAAACCCTTCTAGCCTAAGTGCGGGATACATAAGTAACACAAAGGCTCACCGCACTCAATTACTCTAGCATTTTTTACTCCCTCCCCCCCTCAATATCGCAACGGCAAAACATACCATTAAGATCCCTAATCCGGCGGGTTAAGCGTCCCGAATAGATCGTATTCAAACCAGTTCAGGCTTGGCGCAACACCAACTAGTTTCCACGTCTCATTGAACTTCCTATAAAAGTGCTGCGTCACCCCATGTCCATGCCCCTTATTTACTACCTCTGCAAGATCCTCATTCTTATAGCGCTGGTGCGCCACCCGAATCTGATGATCAACTTTTACCGACCCATCATTCAAACGCTCCCATTTCGACGCGCCCAGGAAGTGTTGGGTTTTCATTCGCGGGTCGCCCAACAGCTTCGTGCTTGAGAGGATAGCGACATACTCATCTGGAGACAAGTTCTCGTGTAACTCGCCTCGAAGGCTACGAAAGTCAAGCCGTATTGAGGGGGCAAGGATCTTTTGGAGCCGTTCCCAGTCCTTGTTGTCATAGCTTTCAGACCATTCAAAAGCAATGTTGCGTATGGCAAGATAGTCTGGATCAAGGCCCATTAACAATACGATAATGTATACAGTCCGTGTGGGAACTCAGACCTGAGGTCGCAATATCCGTAGACATCTTGATAAGGGCTAAGGGGATTCTACAATTGGGTCCTAATCACGTGTGATTGGAAAGGTCAAAAGAGTTGCCCTTCTGTATTGGAGAGGTATGAAAAAACAATAGGTAATAAAATTACCGATCGCGGTACGGTAGTATTCAGAGGTTCTCACTATCATATAATGGCAGCATCTGAGCGGGAAGGCTAGGCTACCTGGGCTCACGGTTTTTATCCATTATTCTCCCTAGAAAGCGGACTGTAAGCACCTGCCGCACTTGTTCAGGAGGCGCAGCGGGGTAAGTCGGATGTTTGCTTTGTGATACGGATGCATGATGCGGGTGAGAAGGAAATTACGTCACTGCATTTCTGCGGCACGAGTCATCTTCACACCGCATGTAGCCGCATGCATGTTATCAGTACACAGTACAGTATGCAGTGCTTTCGGCCTCACATGCTCTAACTATGTAAGGTGCATCTCTTTCCGCCCCGGGCTTTACAACCCCCGAGGTAGATGAGGCAAGTTCATCTACCCTACGCGTAGAATGTACGATGTCAAGACTTTGATCTCAACCGAGCAGGTTGGAAATATGTATCCAACGACCCAAGAGCTCGGGCAACCGCTCGATTGGTAAAGAAATATGGCGACTAAGGGTAGAAGGGGCGGAAACTTATGCTAGGAGTCATAGAAATATCCAAGCCACACAGTGTTGGTTATGGCCGATCCATGCTACTTCAATCATACTGAGCTTGCACTCTTCAGGTCTTCGTACGTTCTCGATTTTGAAACGTGAATCGCTCAGCTATAAAGGTTGTCTAAACTCTTCCATCGATCGGTCCTTGCCATTTGAATTGTTGCCATGATGAAGTCCTGCTGCAAATTGAACTTCTCGGATAACTTTTTAACGGGTCTATCGACTAATACCGAGTCCCAAACCAGTACTTTCGAACTGGTCTTGAGCCCTGGAACCAGATCCCGAAGTATGACCGCACTATGGCAATCGCTCCAGTTGCGAAGACATCGGCTAATTAGATATGCATACGGGAGTTTTTTCGACGGTTGTGGCTTCTTGAAGTTTTGCGTCTCGAAAGAGATTTGTCCCTTGGATTCGGATGGAAGTGCTGCCCTACCTTGCTCTACAACGTGCGAAAGATCGCGGATTGTGAAAGTCAAGTTCTGAGTGTGCTTGGCCAATGCTTGGGAGATCTGGCCATGTCCGCCGCTGAGATCGACAAGTCATGAACCAGGCTTGTCTAGTGTCTACCAGTCGAATGCTTTGACGACGCCGAAGGAGTTGAACTCTTTACCCTCAACGGCAAATTTCATTGCCAAGTCGAATCGATGGGCTCGTTCGGCTCTTCAGCTAGGACGGTGAATAGTAATCGCCCGCTGTTATACCGACTAAATGCGCTTTGATCTAGCTCTCCCGCATCATCTCCAAATTCCTCTCACGCATGAGCCAACAATTCCTCAGCTAATGATACCAGCGAAGACATACTTAGGCTTTTCGAGGATGTAGTCGCCGACATATGGAAGGTTTGCGATGACTACTTGAGTAACGAAACTGGACACAATTTGACAAATTTCACCGCTTACTATCGGCTATTATGAAGGATCTCCCAGGCCGGTATCTTGTGGCGAAGGAACGTCAAGAAACGATTCCCAGTGCCGATAGCACTGAAACTGTTTGCAGTAGTCACGCATGGCTCACATGATAGTCACACGTTGCCAAGACTTACCCCTAAGTACACTCCTTTAGCAATCAATCCAGTTCCTCATGCATCTAGTGCTCCTAATAGCTTCACAGAAACCGATCCACTGGAGAGAGCCTGCAGCGCAAGCCCAACTCTCGAACTTCTCACCTCTTCGCAATTGCGAAAATTCCTGCTTTGGAGACTTCGGGGTTTAGCATTGCATATTCTGCGGTTGACGCACCCGAGGCGTTGGAGGCAACATGCAGATTCTGTGCCAGACCTGCAAAATGAACTAACAAATATCAGTCGTACCACCGACATCTGCAAGTCAGAGATGGCCTTTTCAACCCCACTCCGGGGCTTGATTAATAACAATCAATCAGCCCGCTAGTTCTTGTTATCACAATCTTGACAGTTCTCAAGGCGTCTGAAATCTACCGTCAGAGGCACCTTCCATTCACAGGCCGCCACAGTCAGCCAAGAAATGCACCATCTCCGGATGTGCGTACTATACCCAAGATGGGGGTAGGGATGAAACCAAAGGGCGAAATGCGGGGCAGGGGTAAGCAAAGGCTATTGCAGAATATTTTCACCAATGAATGATTGATATCCCGCTGATTCATCATCCTCCTGTGCTCTGAGCTTTAGTTAAAAACAAAACAAATAGGAGGTTTAGAGGCCTACCACCGCACCGGCCAGGTACACTACTTATGCCTAATACCACAGTAGGGGCGAAACTAAAGGATGAGATGCGGGGCGTTACGGGGAATAGCAGTTCCTATTGGACTTATCAAGCTGTTCTCTGGAAAGTTGCATTTCCCCCCTGCATTTACCCGGTCAAGTTCACCACATTCCTACGGCGCAGACGCATGTGACGACTAGTCTTTGCACTCCTTATTGGCATCTTGACTGCGCAAAGCATTTGCTCACATCTTATTTTCCCTTGCGATTGTTCTTCTTCCACCGATTGTCCTTATCCTGAGTTTCTCGCTCTCTCGCTATGGCTGACGGAGTTGTGGATAACGGACCCTTGGTGCTGGGAGTTGTGATTTCCTCTTGGCGGTACCTTCTTCTTCACTCGAGTATTCACTCGAACCGTCATCAGGCCTTGCTTTAGCTCGACGATGGATTGATTGTCCTGACTTGGACATGCTCTTTTCTCCGTGTCATGCATACCGTTGAGTCCCTGTCAGCTAACCTCGTTCAACTCTAGTTCCTGATTCTTGGCTGCAGTACCGCTATATTTGATTCTGTCAGTCGTGGTTACGGCAAACATATCTATGACCTGACATTACCGCAATATGTCTCAGCCGTGCAGGCAGAGGTCGTCGGGCAGGTACTCGCTATCTCCTCGTCCCCTTCCGGTAAAGCCTCGATCGCATACCTGCTAATACGGCCTTTCCCTGGGAAGAAGCTGCGATGGATTCTGTTGACATTTGTGGCCGCCAAAGCTGCATTCTTCTCCTTCGATGCAATCTTAATCATAGCCCAGTGCCGGCCTGTAGCGTTTCAATGGGACCATTCAATTGAAGGAAGACCATTCTGGGATCCTAGGATCGCCATTGATTGGGGATTCCTCACTGGCGTTTCGTCTAGCATCCATTCAAGGTATTCGCAAATCTTAATATTAACGTATCATTCAGTTACTAGCGTAGTAACTAGCGCAGTAAACAACTTTGTGTTCGCTATTCTGCCCTGGCTCTACATCAGTCAAGTCAGAATCAGCCTCAAAGAGAAGATCAGCGTCGGCGTTGCGTTGAGTGCTGGGTTTTTCGCTAGTGTTTGCTCAATAATGAAGATCTACTACACTTGTAAGTCTTTGGAGGGTTTCCGTAATCTGATCTGCGAAGACTCACGCCTCCATAGTCGATGCCATTCCGCTGATAATATGATCTTGGGTCGAGCTGGCTCTTATCAACGTGGTTGCTTGCATTCCAACTCTACATCCGCTATTGTGTGGTTAAGCGGCAAGAATCATCAAGGCCCTAATACGAATCATTCCATGTACAGCCAATACAGCAACGCCTCGGGGCGCTTGGGGCGATTGAAAAATCGCAGTGCCAGAAGCACTGAACTCACATCTGCTGAAGATTTTCATTAGCTCAACATCTACCGTTCAAAAACGTGCGACGTCACTTTTAATGATCGCAAGGATGAGCAAGTGAAGACTTCCGGGACAGGAAACAGCATTGGTGCTACTGTAGAAGTCCACTATGGTTTCTGAAAGCTGCTTGTGGCGATCATTCTGCTTTTCTAATATGTTCTTCATTTCATTGTCCAAAAGCGGGTTTATGTACTGTCATCTTAGTTCCGCTCTTTGCCGCTCCCATCTGCTGCACGAGAAGAGGAAGTGCGGCATCGGCTCTTTGCACCCTCAGTAACACAACGCTGTCTCTGAGCCCTTGATTTTGTGCAGATATTCCCTGAGGAACGTCTTGCCTGTCTGTACCTGCGTGAGGATCGCCGCCTCTACTCCTTTCAGCTGCTGGTACAGCTCGGCTGACCTGCCCAGGTACAGTGCTGCATCAATCATCTTCGTAAACCTGCCCGTCTCTGCCCTGCTTTGCACGGCTGGTCCCGCCATACTACCTGCTTCCTTCAGTGCCAGCCGCATGAGATACCACCGCACGCCCTCTCGCTGCGGAAGTCTTTTGCTTCCTCGTTGCCCTCAATGCCCGTATGTCTTGGGGTCTAATGCAACGTGAAGTTGACCATCCGGAGCTTCTTGACAATCTCTGCCAGTACCGAATGAGAGGCACTCGCCCTCCAGCTCTTCACTGACTTCACCGTTGACTGCACATCTGAAAATATCCGTGTGCTGGACGTTGGCACCGAAGAACCGTCCGCATCGCAAGCCATACACGACGGTCCCCGCGGCCAGTAGGCTGCCTCGCTAATAGCAAGGAGCTCTGTGAGATACACGTCTGCTATAGTCCTCTAGATGCGTGCTTGGGACAGCATTACGTATATGCTGACTCCTGCTGTCTTCTTGCGAACGGTGGCATCCACATAGATACCCACCTGCTTTGGCTTGTAATCCTCAACGATTACGCAACCCTCGTCCTCATCCTTGCCTATCGCCACCTCGCCCATGCGGACCTTTTGACACATCTCTGCTATTCTCATCAGCGGCGATCGGTGCTTCGTGCACAGACGTTGCCGCTTGATCATCCAGTGGGGATGCGACTGGCCTAGCGTGGGCCGACATCTAGAATTCGATGGCCCGCTTGCGGAGCCTCTATCTCTGCCACAGACAGTGCCATGGTGCAGAATCCCCTGATGGTGAACCTTCACGGTGTTGTGGCTAGAGCGGATCGGTTATCCTGCTATAGATTTGTAACTCTATATTAGGTTAGCTAGAGTGTTTAAGCAGTGTGTAGACAAAGTTATAAAACTAAATAGTTTAGATTGCTTTCTTAAAAGTCATAATTTGCTTTAAAAAGCTGTTTGTTTTTTCTTAAAAGAATTAAGATACCTTATAGGCAAGTTAGCTACTCTACTAAGACTCTACTAAAACTATACACTTATCTATAATACAACACAATGTTTTAACAGCAATATAAGATAAGACATTATAAGGAAGCTAGATTACAGCTTACGCTTTAAACTACTAAATAATATACAACACTTTTTTTATAACACGCTACAGCTTTTTATAAAGTTTTCTATAGAAAACTAAACTATTAACATGCTAAAAAGCCTTTAAAAATAAATTATAACGTAAACTATTACTAAGCTAGATAAAATCTCGTAGCGTAACTAACACTATAAAGAAAAACATAATTTTATTTATAACTAACTAAGGAATGTCGCATATCTAGTACAGAAACCTTCCTTCCCTGTGCCTCAACAGCCTCTACTACTGTTACTATAGCTCCTACTACTTTCACTATATCCTCTCAGCTATTTCCATGACCCTCACCGCCTCTGCTATTATAGATGTAAATAAATACTCTGCAACAGAGCACTTAGACTTAGAATAATACACTTCATTAGATTTCTACATAGCTACATGCTTACGCCACCTCTCTATTTGCAACAAAGAAACTATTTATAACATGCTTATATCTAATTCCAATGCTTCTTTTTTATTCTTTTTACATGTGTAAGTGTTGTGCTTCGTTTTCTATAGTTGTTATAGCACTGTTATTCTAGTAGAACTAGTTTAGTATAATTACTACTATAAAACTTCTTAGATGTTTAAGACACTGCCTATACTTATAGAGACAAGCAAACTTCTCTAGTGTAACTAGTTCTAGTTACAGTCGCTAGCCTAAGCAGTCGCTGCTTTAACCTAAGCTAAGAGTGAGTCGCTCTAGAAGACCTCTAATCGAAGCTTAAGTACACATTAGAAGATCTAAAACAGTATCTACAGAAGAGTCCTGTTTAGAGAACTTAACACTTAGTTATACTTCCTAGTCACGTGCAGCTTTGTTTTGGCTAAGTCTGCTACCTTTAGCTTAGCTACCTTCTTTAAGTATCTGTCTTTTGTTGCCTAAACTTTATCTTTTCTAACTGCGATCTACGCATTTAAAGCCTTAA